TCAGCAAATAATTTTATGGAAGATTTCAGAGCTGTGCAATATGTTTTAGACAACTTCCAGACAGATTTCTACATGTACCTACCCATCACCTTTCAGTACAAACAACAAGGCAGCAGAGACAGTTCTATAATTTTAAAACACATTCAATTATGGAGCATTGATGACCTTTTTAAGATGGCAAATAAATTCCATTCTTTAGGCATACACACATAAAACTTACTTGAAAGATTTTTTCACACTGTGCTTGTGCCAGCTCTTTTGCACTGGCAGGTAGCCAGCAAAATTACGCCCTGAGACTTCAAGTTGGAGTAATGAGGTTCATTTCAAAAAAATAACATTGATACAAAAAAAAAAAAAGTTTATTGTGTGTCTTAAAAAAATACTGCTTTATTTAATTATTTCATCTTTCCTAAAGAATTTTTTTTGTTGTTAGTTCTTGTAAATTTTTCTCCTGTGCTACTGAAAGCCACTGTATTGATGGCTGGAAACAGATTCAAAAAGCTTACTAGTCTAACTTCATCCCTTACCACTTCTAAATCATTCCCAAAGTCCAGCTATTCCAGACCTCCCTGTTCTTCTGAAAGTACTTCATTGAAAATTAATCCTGCTTCACAGTATTCTTCATGATGATGATGATGATGTAAACATACTGCATTCAAGATAAATTCTAAGCTTTTGTGTATACCAATCAAGGATCAGGGTCTTTACATAATAGTTCTTTCATGTAGCTGTTCCAGTACTCTTGCAGCTACTTCTGTCTTCCCTGACACTCAGGACTACAAAAGCTTCCCACATTGTTGTCCCCTTGTTATATATAAGGAAGTAAAGAGCAATAAGGTAAGGGGCACCTATCAATAGGGAATAATTCCCATCCTTAAGGGAATAAGTTTGGATTTAATTATGTTCACTAATGTGTTACGATCATGGTATATTGATTACAGTTCTCCTTGGTCAGTAGTAATTAGATGACATTTTTCAGTGTATATTTGTTAGTTTATAACTGATAAGGTATTTTATTGAGTAGAAATCAGACACAAACAGACAGCATGAAAATTTATGTGGATCATTACTTTATATATTCAACTGACATTTTGGCTCTGCACACAATTCTAGAGGGCGGTGTTAAGCACCATATATATGTGGGCTCTAGACAATATGCAATCACCTGTCTCTGCCTTTGTTTTCATATCAGGAAATATATTTATTCAACAGAAGTCTTCAGGATCTTGCAGAAGAAATATACCATATGTTAGCAGTCTCATGGACCACACTGCTCCCTCAGGCTACCAGCAGGCTGAGACAAGAAACAGCTTGCCTGTGTCAAGTGATGATTTCCTGAGGCAGGGACAAAACAACCACCCATTTAAAGGGAGGCTAAGGGCACCCTAAACTCCCCAAGTAATAATATGGTTTATGTCACAACAGAGTACAAAGTACCTTGTTGCTGGGGCAGCCAGTAATTAAGGGCATTGGACTAATAACAGACTTAGGCTGCCTGTAAATCCTATGTACTATTTCAGCAAGAACTCCATATACCAAGTTTAAGTATCCAAATCACAGCATTTTTGAGTTAACAACCTTAATCTGCCACTTTAACAGTCCTTACAGAAATCCTTCTTCACCTTTTTCCTCACCAGAGCCTGACAAGAATTTAGGGCACATACTAGAGCCTCTGGGGCTGTAGCCAGCAGAGGGCACAAATGACACACGCAGACGCTGGTGGGTATCTCACCAAAAAGTTCAACACGGTTTTCTGTTCCCTTCAGCAAGAGCTGCTTCACTCTGGCCTACAAACAGAAAAGATGTCTAGTCATTCCCTAATGTAGTGCCTCTCTAGCAGAAATGACTGATTCTAAAGGTTTTTTTCCCCAAACATCTGGTATATCAGGACAAACCTGAATATACCAGTGAGATACTACCTTTTCTCCTGGTCTCTTCTCTGAAGATTTCATTCAGCTGAAAGCTTCCTCTCCTTAACATTTGCCCAGGGAGGTGGCTGAATCACCATCCCTGGAAGCATTCAAGAAACAACTGAAAGTGCCACTTAGTGCTGTGGTCTAATTTACAAGGTGGTGATCATTCAAAGGTTGGACTCAATCTTGGATCTTGGATGTCATTTCCAATCATAATCATTCTATGCTCTTCAGCTGTCACTAAAATGTGTTCTTAAAATACAGATAATGGTAGTGCTCTGAACTACAAATCTGAGTCTCAAATACCTTCTCCCCAAATGTGAAAGATCTGGATATGCAGTGCTGGTTGAAGTCATTTTGCTGACCATGTGTTTATTGCATCCCCAGCATTGTTACCTGAAACATAAGATAACTTTTACAAATTTTTATAGCACAAATAAGTCTCTGCAAAGGAGTAAGCTGCTTTGCTATCCCCTCAGAGCTTGGAAGACTCAACAAGCTGGCACTACATGGTCCCATAACTCTGCTAAACTGGTCCTGCAGTGTGTAAAACTCAGTAGAAAAGACAGAAAAGTAAAATACTTTATTAGTGGTTAAATGTTTCCCAGAAAGATTAAGTGGCTTGTCTGTCTACAGCCACACATGATAACAGGATAGCTTTTAGCTATGAAAACAAATGTCCTTTGAGCTGTTAATTGTAGCAAGGCAGCAATATGTTCACATACAATATTCTATTACCAAACAGTATGTAAAATGAAGAATGCCTTTTATAATCATACAGTTTTGCAAAGATAGAACTGATTTTAGAACAATATAACAGAACCTTAAATTTGGCAAAACTCCTGAGACACTATAAGAGACTTCAGTCTACAACTGAATTAATGCTTTAGAATTTATCTGTGCATCTTCTGCCAGCCTGTTATGTGGATATGCCTAAAATGTATTTTTTCAGTTTTACTATACCTACAATGTATTGTTAAGTAAATGTTAGTGTTCCAGCACTATGAGACTCAAACACTACTTAAAATTTAGTATTTCTTGCAAAAAGAGAGACTGCTCAATTTTATGTGCTGTCCCTCATGCCATAATCAGAACCACTTCATTTCCAGAAATCACTCTCACAAATGGACTGTCTTTATTTTACATGTCACTAGGTGAGGGGAGATGGGGGAAATTCTTATAATCAGTTTTAGGGCAGCCAAAAACCTTTCACCTATTCACCCAAAATTCAGTAACTGCTTTGGCCAAAACAAGTTTTTTAAAATTGCAAGATACATAGCAGAAAAATGAAAGTTTAGTGATTTGCCTGTGAATTATTTCCCAGTTCTTTTACATATCCAACCAGAATAAATCACTTCATCAACTTTTCCAGCCATTCCCCCAGTGATTTCCCCATTTAGTTGTAGTGTAAATGGTGAACTAGCTGAAACATTTGTGACTGCTGGTTAGCATGTACCTAGGTATGGAGTAGCCATCTGGCTGCTACTCAGAAACTAGTAAACCAGCAGAGCTCTGCTATGCTCTCCCTCCGTGCAGGATCTGACCTGGTTCCTTTTATTCTGCCACCAATTTTCAAGTAACTTCAAGAGCTGTATCATGATTTGAAACTGATGAAGACACTATCACTGTCACAGTTTTAAGAGTGGCATTCAAAATTATGACTCCACCCAAAATACCAATGCTAGGGAACAGCATTAGGAGAAATGGACTACCTTTAGCCAGGACAAAACCTGATTAAAAAAAAAAAAAAAAAAAAAAAAAAAAAAAAAAAAAAAAGGAAGTGCCCTCTTGTTTTTTTGAGAGTTGCCACTGAATATAAAATCTGGACTAAAGCAATCAGATTTAAGAGAAGAAATGAAAAATTATTTCCCAACATTACCATTGGGTGGCAGGGCCAGCTCCAGTACCCAATGTAATTTTGGAAATGTGCAATTAAGTTTACAAGAGTAATAACTCAGTACTTTAAGAATTACACTACAAGTCCTGTTGACAGTAACCAAAACCAGGGCATGAAAAAGTTTTTCACCTCTACAGCTAGCCCACAACAAACTACTCTTGGGAGCTTCATGATTTTGTGGTCCAACTTACATAACCAGTAAGTTTTGTCACAAACCGCATCATCTAGATTGCTGAATTATGTCTCTAAAAAAAACAAGAAAGCCGAATTTTCAAAATGCTTTGATGATTGTGCCATGTTTAATAGAAAAGGTATCCACAGTAAATGTGTATGTGCCTTTATACCTGTATGAACGTCCTTCATCAAGCAATACCAGCAGCACTGTAACCTTTCCAGAGCATCACATTTCACTTGCAAGCTCTGAGACTGGCAGATGGATCCAGAAGGGTTAGCCCCTTGTGTATGGGTGAAACAAGCCTCTCCTTAATGCTCTATGGCAAGACTAGGTGGCAAGTTGCTTATTCAGTGCAGGCAGAAGATTTGGTGAAATTGCATGTCTCATCATTGATCACAACACAAAACCACCATCACAAGCATCTCTTGAGGCAAGGAGTCATTCTACGGATGATTTTCCAAAAACCATCACGGGAGAAACAAAATAAAACCATGGTAGGTCTTGGATCTGGAAGCCTGTCACTACACAATAAAGAATTCAAGCAGAGTTTCCTGGGAACAGTGGAAGCCCTAGCCTAGGGGTGTGAGAACTGCCACCACTAGATGTGATGAACCTGCAAAATCGATGCTGTCAAGCAGCCCTAGCCCACCAACTCCCGTAATGCAGCGCTGCCAGGGCGGCCTCGGCCCCCTTCGCGGGGTGTGGGATGCTGTAAAGCCCGCCCATGGCAGCAGGATTGCGCCGGGCCGTCCCATGCTTCCACACCCCAGGGACCGGCTGTTCCCGCACAGTAACCCCGCGGTGGCCGGAGCCGCCCTGCGCTGCTGCCCCGCGGCCGCATTCCCTCGCTGGAGCTCAGGGCCAGCACCGGCCCCTCGCAGGGCGCTGCTGCCGCTCCCGGCCCGGCCCGGCCCGGCCCGGCCCGGCCCGGCGCCCGGGCCGGCCCCTCCCCTGTCTGCAGCGGGTGGAGGCGGAGAAGGGCGGCGGCGCCGTCACGTGAGGCGCTGCCGGCGCTCGGCTCCCCGCGCAGCCCCGCCGCCGCCAGCCCGGCCCGAGCCCCGCCGCCGCCTCGCCTCGCCTCGCCTGGCCTCGGCTCCTCCGGCGCCTCCATGCCCAGCAGCGAAGCGGTGCCGCTGGGGCTGGGCGCCTGCCGCAGGTCGGGGGCGCTGGGAGGGATGCTGTCTCTGGTGGCGCGGCTGCTGGAGTGGCTGCGCTCGCTGTTCTGGAAGGAGGAGATGGAGCTCACGCTGGTGGGGCTGCAGTACTCGGGCAAGACCACGCTGCTCACCGTGCTGGCGGTACGCGGCCCCGGCCCGGGGCAGGGCGGTGCGGAGCCCAGCGGCGGGCAGGGCCGCGGGATCCGGCGGGCGCGGCCGGCGGGGCTGCAGGAGCCCCCGCCCGCCCGGGGCCGCCGCCCCGCGGCCCTTCCCCGGCAACAAGTGCGGGCTGTGCTGCTGCGGTGCCGTGACGTCCCGCGGCGATGCGGTGGGATGCGGAGGGAGGGAGGGGGGCCAGGCGGGAGAGAGCATGAGGCAGCTTTTGCATCGTTTGCAGCCTCGAGAATTTCACAGCAGGAGGCTAAGGTGTGTATGAAGGTGTTTGCAGAGGGAGGAGGAAGATGTCCTCTGGGTCTGGCTGCAAAGTGTGCCATTTTGGAGCAGATTCGTGGGCATGGGCTCTTGCCGTGGTTCAGATTGGCTTTCCATGGTCAGTGTATCCCAGAATAATACATTGTGCATCCCTCAAGGCCGTGAATTGTCTGTTACTGAATTCTCTCCTAGCAGTTGCAGCAATGCTAATGCCTCCCACAAATCCTCCATAGCTCTTCCCCAGCATCCAAGTCTGATTCCAGCATTCAGTTCCCACTCTGGTGATGGCCTTGCAGCCTCTAATGCTGACACCTACCATGACATTTTCTTTTGTCACCATGCTGAAATACATTTCTCGTCTTTGTTTGTTGCACCCTCCAAACTGCATTTGGGTCCATCCCAAAGATTTGCTTTCCATCAGGGGATGGAAATAAACGTGGGTATATGTTATATTTACTTACTGCTAATCCTGAAGCTTAGTGAAGCTTTTCTGCAAGGTGGTATCTCTTTTCAACTGTATTGCAGCTTCAGCTGCTAGAAGAATAAAATTTCTAGATGTTCTGCAGTCCTTAATGTGAAAAGCTAAAAACCATACTGGGAGGTGTATGGGTTAAAGTCAGAGGGATTGAGTATATGATATTTGTTACTTGCTTTTGTATAAGATTATGGATTAAGGGAAAAATAAGGCATTATGCATTAGTGTGAATGAAGAAATGGAGAGAGAGCAGGAGAAAAAGGTGCCCGAAAAGTGTGTTTTGGGTGACATTAGCAATCAATGGAATATACCTGTAGCTGGTATTTTAGTTGGTTTGTCAGGCACTTGGGTAATCTTGCTGAGATAGGCCTCAGTGCTTCTTACGCCCATTAGAAGTGTTCATTTCCCAAGGGAGGGCCTTGCCGTGGAATGGGGAAAAGGCATGACAAATTTCCTTGCTTCTTGGATTGTTTTCATGAACAGAGTGAAGAAGAACACAGTGGCTCAGAGACCTCAGTAGTGTGTGGTGTCAGACTTTGTGTGTGTAACTCTTTGTTCACTCCCTTGTACTACCAATGAAATGGTGTTGTAGGTGTTTGTCTCTGGGATGTTATCTTCAACACCAGAGCACTCCTGTTACTGCAGGTCTGATTTTCCCTGTAAATGTTATTTCTTAAGAGTATTCTACAAGGCATTCATGTTTTGTAACTTAGGGAGGGTCACACATTTCAGGTTTTCTAGATTTTGGATCTTCCAGTCTGGAGATGACATGCCATGGTAAGTGGTTGGCGAATTTTGAAAAAAAAAGATAGGATAAGGCTAACTAATATTGTACATGATAAGTATATATTTAATAACTATAAACCAATATTTATATTAGAATATTAATAATAGTTTTCTCTTGAATACTGTTGATGTGTAAGGGCAAACAGATTGGGAACTCTCTGTTATGTTTGTGAATATATGGCTAGAGTGTGACAGTGAAAATAGCTGTTGCAAAACAGTGGCTACTTAAAATGTAAGCTGCAGTGGATCGAGAAAAAGCATTGGAATTTACAATTTTTTTCACTTTGCAAGAGCACTCAGAGATCCTATTGTGCTAATATACACCCTGAATATCGTGAATATACACCCTTTGAGACAGTCTCTGCTCTTCAGAGTTTGAGCCATATCTGTTATCCAATGGAAACCTTGGATAAAATCACTGCCTTGTACTGTGGATTTGCATTGATAATAGAGTAGAATCTGGTCCATGGTTGTTGATGTGGTACGGGGTAATGACGGTGTTCATTATCAGTTCAATAGTCTGAAATTTTTAGAGGACATTATAAACTTCTTAGCACCAGTTATTTTTCATTTGTGTTGGGAGGTAATCTGTTTTTTATTGACATATGACAATAAAATTCTTTGCACTTCTTAAATCTTCACAAGAATAGGCAATTTGTAATGTAAGCCTTCCTTACCAAGCATAGTAGTACAGACTTTTTACTTTATGGTGATCAGGTCATTACAACACAGTAAACAGTTCTTGGACCAACATGAGCAAACGATTGAACCTATTCCTTTCTTTTCTGCACTGTGTGGGAAAAATAAAAAACTGTAGACATAATACTTTCTTTGTATTATGATTCCATTCAACCAGAATGGGGAATTTTTAGAGAAAAAGACTGAAGACCAATGAAGAATATGCTAATTCTTTACATTCTATCCCCAATACTAGAGGACTTAGAGTGGTTTGTTTTTTTATTTTTGTCTTCCAGTTTAGCATATTACATGTGATGTGTAATTTGCTGACAGAAGTAGAATTCCAACTTTCTACAGCCTCCTGAGTCAACTGTCTGCTTTTCCCAGCATTCTTGTCCTTGAGAAATGATGCTACATTTTCAGTGTTTTATGTGTTCATATGTGTTTATACATCAGTCCTCCACAAATATAGGTACTACATATTTTTAAAAATTCATATAATTATAGAATCATTAGGATTGGAAAAGAGCCCAAACATCATTAAGTCCAACATTTGACTGTACACCGTCCTGTCAGCTAAGCCATAGCGCAAAGTGCCACATCCAGTCCATTCTTGACCCCTCCAGGGATGGTGGCTCCACCCTTTTCCTGGGCAGATCAGTATCCAATACACAAGAGGATTTACTGGTTGGCTTTGTCTTACTACAGTTGAAAACTTCTGTGAGTGCTGGGTATGTGTGTCTGTATAAAACTGCAGGGACTTTTGTTTTCACTTTGTTTTTCGTTCTGCTGTTGATAAGTTACTGAAGCGGGGAATAAAAGGAAAAACAAAGACAAAGCATGGTGAAGATATACAGTACAGACTTTAGCAAGAAGATTCACATCAGTAAGGTTGAAAAAAGAACTGATGGAAGTTGTTTCTTTCCTGAAGGATCAAATTCCAAGTCCTTGTGGGATAATCATGTAGGTGTCAAAAGTTATGTGGCTTTCAGTGCCCCAGATTAAAAATTGTTAACCTTTAATTGTAAATGCAAACTGAAGGCAGAGTGTATTCTCACTCTACCACAAACAGAAAAAAGTTTCAGAAATCGTACAGAGTGCAGGAGTAGCCCTGGAGGGGTAGACTAAGATACATTGCTGTTGCAGTGCACCCTCAAGCTCTGATCCTCCATTTCTCAGATGAGAGGGAACTGATGGAACATGACTGCATCCTGCCTTGTCCACATGTACCCATATTTTCTTCCAAAAAAAAAAAAAGAAAAATCAACAAGCCAGGGCACAAGGGGTGCCCATAGGTAAATATGGGCAGATAGATGCAGAAGGGTGGTGGCAGACCCAGAAGGCGCTGCTTTCCTTGCTGGCTGATTGGAACATGAGGATTGCTGTGTCTGTTGCAGAGAGCACCTGGGCCCTCTGTGTGAACATAAGTAATGAACTGCCTATCTTATTGTACTGTGTCCAGGAGACAGAACAGCTTGTTAATGGTGCATTTTCAAAAGGAAGAATGAGTGACGAGTTACCTACTCAGATCTGAGTTCTGTCTTTATCCTCAAAAGATGTCTTCTGTAGTGTGTAGAAGTCTGTAAGATTCCCATTGGTTTGATGAGAAGTCTCTGTTGTGAAAATATTTTCTGAACTGGGGGAGGAGGCAGCATTTTTTGTGCTGGGGGTTTATAGTACACTAAGTTAGTACCTTGTACTTTTCTGTCTTAATGGCATTTTCTTAGCTCTGAAGCCGGATTCCTGTGCTGTCACCTGTGCAGAAGGAACAAGTCTGCACACGGTATTTTCTGCATGCGTAGTCTTTCACTGTTTTTATATTTGGAGTTAAACTACTGGTAACAGTGAGAAACTACAGGAAAAATCATAGTGTAGCCAGTTTTATAATATTTTTATCATACTGGGGGTAGGACTAGGTCACCTTTGAAGGTTTCTTTCAACTCAAATCATCCTACAGTTTGATATTTTGGCTGTGCTGCCAAAGGATCAGATAAAGGATTATCTGAAGTCTCGTGGTTTCTGGGGTGGTCTTTGTTGCTGAAGAGAATAAAAGATCATTTAAAAGGTTTGAAATGAACAGTCTTCCTTGATGTGACAATGCAGTAATTGAACTGCTGGCCAGTGCTCTTGCTGAAAATTAATGTGATATTTTACAGTATTTTACAGATATTACAGTATTTTACAGATATTACAGTATTATAAAGTAACATCTTTTTAGATTACAAATGAAAACCTTTCTTGTATGTATCAGCTGTTTTCTAATCAATATAATTTTGGTTTTATATTCTAGTCGGGGCAGTTCACAGAAGATATGATTCCTACAGTAGGCTTCAATATGAGAAAAATAACAAAAGGAAATGTTACCATAAAGGTAGGTGTGCATGTTTGAATTAATACAAAGCAAATAAATAATTCTTGTAAAGTAATAGTAATATATTTCTCTGTTACATTAATCTGTTTGATTTCATTGTATTTCATGCCAGGCACAGGCTTTTTTGCACTTTTTTGATTTAGGAAGGTCATAAAATACGGAGATACTGAGGTAGCTGAGTTGACTCCTGAGGGTATATCTGTCTGCTCTCTTCTTGTTCTCCTCTCCTCCCAACTGTAAGTGAAATCTGGAGCGACTTGACTCCTGACTTTGGTATCTCAATGGAGAGTGTGGTTTAGCTCACACGTTAGCTATGCTTAAATAAAACATCTAGCTTAAATCAGTTATCAGAGAACCATCTCTTACAGCTATAGAGACAGATAGACATCAAAATAGAGATAAATCACTCTGGTAGCATTAGGGCACTGTCTGTTGTTTGATTATGAAGGGAGCCTGTTTGATTTGTCTCGGTGAAATTCACAACTTCTAGATAAAATTAGATCAAGAGAATCTAGATTTTTGTCTTTACCTTGACTTTTCCCTCCTTTTCCATAATATGTGAGTTCTCCCTCAGTTCTATAGTTACTCTTCCGCTGGTTCGGTATGACTCCTAAACCACTGATCAAATTCCAGAGGTGCCACAGTCAATAAAAAAGTTACTGCATTCAACCATAGCTGATAAATAATCCACAGGAATAGGAATTTCCATTGTTTTTTATATTCTGCACAGAAGCAATGAGGCCATGATTGATAGAGAGAAAACATCGGCGTAGGTGGAGGGATGCACCAATGCTGCTGCAGAATTGTCAGATGTAGAAGAAAACAGAAAAGTTGTTGATGGTCCATTAAACTAGACAAAAACCTTTTACTAGTAAGCAGTAGTCAAGATAAAGTATTTTTTGAGCCAGGATAGTTTAAGAAGGAACTGAGTAATAGTTTATACCAGGGATGTCTGAGCAAATGATGTTGCAAGGTTAAGTTGTGCAGAGTGGGTGTAGGTAAGTTTCTGTGGAACTGTGCCTTGTTTTACTCTTTGATCTCAAAAGTAATTTTATGTATAGTTGCCATAATAGAATTTTTAAGAATAAGGAGATAATGCTAACATAATTTATATGTTATTAGTTTCAAAAACCATATTTAATTTGGAAGCCAGTCTGCATAGGAAGAAATCTTGACTCATTCTCACAGTCTCTCTTCTACAACAGCATTCAGTGCAAAGAAGGGGTGTTGGGGAATATGACTCTTAGGCATAGATGCTTATTTCCTTAAGAGTATGTCAGGGTAAACTACTTGTATGTCACTATTCCTGTATCTAGGTTAAAATCTTACAGGTTATTGCTAGATAAGGTTTCCAAAATTTTTTTACTTTGAGGAAAATGACAATCTTTTGATAAGTTGATGACTCAAGAATGATGAGGTGCCTCTTGCTAGAATCCTTTTATAAACTATTTGCAGCACAGTAACAAGAACACACAGTAAAATTTTCTTTGGCTTTTTTATCCCAACAAAACAGGTAACCATTATACTAGAAATATTATTATATTCAATTGTCAGCTATTAAAATTAATAGATAAAGTGGTATTGTACTAAACCCATTAAGTTTGTTAAACGTGACAGGAATGATGTTTATGCTAAGCAAAGACCTGACATTGTGTCTGACATTTTTCCAAGGTTTCAGGGGACACTACAAAACAGAATCAATTAAACTTACTATAAAGTTGAGGCTGAGAAGTCATCTGGGTCAAAAAGTCATCAAGTGAAAAATTTGCATTCTAGAAGTAATAAGATTGATCACTTTTGGTAAAGTAAATTGAAAACCCAGCAATTAGGTGATACTAATCCTTTATCTGTTTTTTGCCCTATTTTGGTGTAGGCCACTAAGTAGGAAGTACTATGCTAGGGCAGTGTCAATGCCTGTATTCTTCAGTTCCATCTGCAGATTCCATACAATTCCAGAAGGCAGAAAGAACTGAAACCCATGGTCTTCTTTCCTTTCTTCTGATTTTGGCAGTCATTTCCAAAGGCTGGTAGATTTATTCTCATTTTTAGTCTCTGATCTTAATGTGTAAATGTATGGACATTGGCATGTGTGTGTGTATGCGAATTTATCTGAACCACACTAAAAGAAAAACACTGATGATTTATTCAAGCCAAAACATTTTGTAGGAAGATGCCAGTTTCAGATGTTCTTGAATTGAAGCTAAACCTCTTTAGAAAGGTAAGGCTGTCAGCTTCAACTATGAATGATCAATTTTTGACTTACCAATATGTTTAATAACCTGTCACCTGTTATTTCCAAGAACAGAAGTCAATAAAGGAAAGATTTTACCACCTGGTGTTTGAAATCCAAGCAGGGAGCTTTATATTTTGAGGTTGTGGTTGAGGTATTGAAGTGCAGGATGATTTCCAGCATCAAAGTATTTTATGTACTACAATGTAGGGATCTGCTAAAACTATTCTATTGAAGTTCATTACAAAACTGATATTTTTTTTTTTTTTTTCCCTGACAAAAATATCTGACCGAATTGGTTTGAGATTTTAATTCCAAACAAGTTTTGCTGTTTGGTGAGTGATTTGATTTTGACAGTTTTTCCATTTTTTGGATCTGCTTAGTATTAGCTGTCCTTTTGCTTAGGTCAGATTTACTGTTCAACAAGCTAGACTGCAGTTAATAAAATTTACTTTAACAAGCCAAGTTTCGAGAACCTTAGAAGACTTGAATTGTGAACTGCTATTTGAAGTGATTGGGAGCCTCCAGCTAAGCAACCTTTGGTTATTGCAGCGATGGTCTTAGGAGTGGAGAGCAGGTGCTCGGGGGACTGGAGCTGGCGGAGTGGCCTGTGGTCACCCCAGCTGTCACCACTAGATGCCGGTGTCCCTCCACCACACCCTGCACGGCCTGGCTGCAGGAGAGCAAAGCTGAGCTTCTGGCTGCTTGCACTTTGCTCTGATGTGGCAGAGAGGCAGGAGAAGGATGCCAGCGCTGTGCATTCCTCTGCCAGCTTCCTTTGTTGCAGCATTCCTGCTGTGGACAGTAGCGTTTTCAGGTCTTTACACATCCTCATAGAAGAAGAATCCTCCTGCTTTGTAATGCTTCCTCCTACTATTCAGGTTATATTGCCTGTCATATTGTAATTTCAAATGTCATGCAGTATTACAAGCCTATGTGTGTACTCTGAGTGTAGCTCCAGCAGTGCTTCAGCACATGCTAGCTATTCTGTATGACTTGGATCACTCTGAAGAAGTGTGCTGTGTTTGGCCTGATTTCAAGTCAAAGTGGTTATTTCTGTAAAAAAAGAATTTTTTGCTGGATGTCCCAGTGTTAATGATAGTTATCTGTAAGGAAGAGCTGTACTGGTGGTTCAAAAGGGCTGTGATCCACAGCAGGAAGCCCAGTTACTAGTCCTAAATCCCAGGGATTAGTGTGCTTAGTGTGTTCATTAGTGACCTGGGTGATGGGACAGGGTGCACCTTCAACAAGTTTGCTGGTAATACAAAATTGGGAAGAGTGGCTGGTGCAGCGGAGGGTTCTGCTGCCATTCAGAAGGACCTTGACAGGCTAGAGAAGTGGATTGGTAGGACCCTTAGGAAGTTAAGGAAGTATAAAGACTTTGGCTTTGTGTCCTGTTCAAAATCCACCTGTTGATCCTTCTAGCATTGTATTTTGTGTCTCCAATAAAATAGCAAATAGCCCCTGCTCACTTAGAAATACTCCTTCCCATTGAAATGCCTCTGTGCTTGTTGTCAAGAGTTGAAGATACTTTGTGGACATTTTCTGTTGCAATTCTATTTCCAGTTCTTCAGTGAAAGTATTATGATTAAATTGTGAACATTGAAATGCACATAAAGCTTTTTTCTTTTATCTGATGTGATTAAAATGCCTAAATGCTATGTTTAAAAGTTGGACTTTATCACCAGTGAGGAGGGAGAGCAGAGTTCTTTAAAGGGCCAAGGCTGATTTCAAAGAACATACTGTTCTCAGAAATACTGCCTGCAGAAAATAATGTGTAACCACATTGCACACTTTTTTTGACTCTAAGAGCAACTATGAAGGCCAATATCCAATATATAGGATAATAAGTAGTAAGTATTCTAAAGTAGTAAGATATTCTAACTTCCATATTAAGTTACATGGCTGGTAGGTACTACAGGTTAGGCTGGGTAGATTTGGATATACAGGGCAATGTATTAAAAAGTTTAAGGTTATTAGGTTTTTTATTCTTCTGTTTATTAGGTAAAAAAGATGGTTATTTTTGGTTGGAGATTTCGGTCTAGAATAAGTGGTTGTTTAGGATTTGTGCCTCGTGAGCTCAACCAGCTGGTGAGTAACCCAGCCTGAGCCAGTTGTCTGAACTTGCTGGGGAGCAGTGGGTGCTTTGCAAGAATGCTTCCCCAGGTAGGCAAGGTGGTTGAAACAAGCAGAACAATTTCTTGCTGTTGGTACCCTCTGAGCACTTCAGTAGGCAAAGAGAAATTTTGGTCATCTGAATTAAATTAATAAATGTTAGCTATTTGAAGTTGTCCCGTGCTACACTGAGTTGGCTATGAGTGCAATGACTGCTGTGTATGTGCGAACTCATTGGTCACATCTTAGGCTTCTCTGTGTACACTGTGGTGGTGGATGTTACTCGTGCTGCCTTATTCTATCCAAATACTCCTCTTTGCTTAACAAATTCCTCAACTGTTTGTTGAGTTCAAGTATTTGTAGTGTTGGATTCATCTTGCAGGTTAAGATATCTGCATGTAAACAGCTATGTCTGCAGTGAGGCTTCAGTTCTTGTAATAATAGTCAGAGGAGCTGTAGTCAGTACTGTCAAGCCCAGAGCATAATTCTGTCATCCTAAATAAGATGTTATATGTGATCACTGAAAGGCTGTCTAGACTTTGCTGACTACTGTCAGATTGTAGGTACTGAGCCCACACACTGACATCAAGATAGAAATTTGTCATTGTAATCTCTGTCCATAAGAAGTCTCCTACCCAGCATGTCTGAAAAAAAGCCATGTAACATGATATGTAGAAAACACTTTTTCTACAACTTTCTCATGAACCATCAAGCCTTCCTACAATATTAACTAATTTGAAGAAACACAGCTAGAGTGTTAATGAACCTTCTTGTAATTGAAAACTTTAAAAAAATCTTTGAATCTATTAATGTGCATTTTTGCTCAACTCTCATGATAGAGCTCTGTGCAAAAGAAAAGGACCTGCTCCTTAAACACAAATGGTCTTAAGATGGAGCCTTAGGTCTTCCTAGAAAATTGGAAAAAGATCAATCCAAAGTTTCCACTTTTAGAAGAATTTGATATATCTCATGTAAGTACACGGTTAACAGTGGTGATCTAGTTTACAGATTAACACATTGCACTGATTAATGACAGTGTAGACCTGCAAGCACAATAAAAATTACTACACTATAGAAGTAGATAGGAATGAATAAAACAGATTAAAATGCAGTACCAACAAGATGTGTGTCTTTGAGATTGAGCATGAACATAAAATCCTTGAGATTTTAATCTCCTGTGAGGCAGTGGTACTGGGTATCAAAGAAACTTTCTCTCAGTTTGGTCATTCTGTAATCTTTTCCTAATTCTTAAAATCACAATTTTATCAATTAGGATAAAATGACCTTTTAAATACTATGAAACTTTTATTCCTGAAGGGCCAGTAAAAGCAAGCCATGGGAGAAATTTGAATACCAGCCTCTTTTTAAAAACAACCAGACAAACTTTTTGTAGCTAGCTGTATGTTCAGCTTTTAAGGTTTAGTCTCCTGCCTGTTCCCATTCATACCCAGAACATACCTCTGTATTAAATACTGGGATGCAAAAATAGTTGATACACAAAACATGCAAGGCTCATGCAAGAAAACTTCTTTAACATTAAGATCTCTTGCCTTTCCTTCATGGGTACCTATTGTATTCTCACAGTTCTGTCTGTTCAGTTGTGTTCTGTGAAAATGGTTTGTTACAACAGTTTGTATTTTGAATTAAGTAGTTAACTCTTTCATTGGCTATTCACTATAATGAAGAGTATTAGAAAATTACTATTAAAACCATTTTGATTTCAGAGGGAAAGAGGTGAGTATTTCTTTTGCATTTAATGCATTTGTTTATTTTCATATTTCAGATAATTACTACTGTATTGATATAAAATTGGTTCTAAAGCACTGTTAAAAACACCTAGTCTATATTGTGTCCTTCATGTTGTACTTTAATGAATAGCTGTAAGCCTGATTAGGGAAACTGACTGGAAATGACTTATCTTTCCATTGTTTCAAGGTGACTTTTTCTCCTAATGAGAGTAATCTTGTTCTGCAGTGCAATTTAATACTGCAAGATACAGTATATCATCAAGCAAGGACAAACTCAGTATTTTTTATCTTGTATTTATTTTGTGATTAGTCCAGGCTACATCTTTTTTTAGATTTTCATGGCTATCAACATTCCAAAAATCTAATCTGACTACTAGCCTGCCCTATCATCTTTCCATTTTTTTTTTTCCTCTGGTCTACCAAGAAAATAATTTAGTTTCTTTTTCAAGACACACAGATGTGCACCAGATGGCTTTGGATAGTTTCAAGGTCTTGATGAGTTATTGGAGTAATTAGTATTGGTATAAGTTTTGTCACCAAACAATAATGCTGAATACTCCTTAAGTTCAAGCTTTTAAAGTATAAAGATTTATTTTACCAAGACCTTTGATACAGTGCTTCAAATGTCAGTACAGATATTAACTGATACCCACTTCATGGTGAGAAGCTCTTTCATGTGTAAAATTTTTGATCTTATTCAGGGCATCAAAAGGTACTCTACATTTAGGTGATACAATAGTTTTATGTTGGAAGGAGTGTTAAGATAACAATCAGGGAATTATTTTAATGGTGAATTGGGAAATACTTATTTCTAAAATATGAATATAAGATATTGAAAATTATATAAAAGTTGATACATAAAAATTATTTACAACCTGTGAAATTCAAAAAATAGTGGATATTAATTGAAAAAGGCCTTATTCCATAGGTCTGTGAAGTCTTGCTCTTTTGTGTAAAGCTTTTTTGCCATAGAAGGCTTAATTTGGATTTATAGTGTAAATGTGAAGACAAGTTTAAAAATTTTATTTCTGTATATATTACTTCCAAATTTAGTTTCTTCTGTTATACATATGCCTCCTAGATCTGGTATACAGTATATATTGTTTTGATAGCTAAATCTTCTTAAAATAAGAAATAATTACTTCTCTTTGTCCTTGGCAGAGGACAATTCCATTACTTTTATTTTTCAGTATTCATCACTGTATTACACTGTCACATGTAACACAGCTGTCTTTGGATGTAGCTGTAAAAGATACATTATCATGCGGCCCTGGCCTGCATGATGTATATATGTTACCTGGTACTTAAATCTGAGGAACAGTTTGGAAACAAAGATACTGTCATCCACCAAAAATGCCAGTTTTTTTGGAAGTAAAGCAGACTACATAACTCTACAGAAAAATAATGTGTTGATGTTTTAACAAATTCAGGAATTCCATGGGGTTGCTGGGCACTAATCACATGTGTAAGTATTTATAGGATTTGAACTTCTGTAACATGATAAGCAGAATTTGAGCTTTCTTCAAGAAACACTGCTTAATCACTTCAGGCCTACCTATACTAGTGTTTCCTTTCTCTGATTAATTTATCCATGTGTCTTTTAAAGCACATTTGTTGAACCAGTGGGAGAACTGTGGAGGTACTGAAGCTTCTTGGAGTGTGGAGTATCATCCCTTATGTGGATTCAGTGTGCTCTCTGACCAACTCTTTGTTTATTTACTATCTGTCTTTATCTGGTTAACTTAGGTGTCCCTAGCCGCATTAAATATTAACCTGCATAACTGTTTCATACAATGATTATACTATTTTTTGTTTTGAGACTGTGCATTTGCAATAATTCACTTCAGTTCAGTATCTGAGTAAGACTTTTCTTTCAGTGAGTGGGAAAAGGTAACATTCTCCAAAAGAACATTTGGAGCTTTTAGTGTCACAGGCCTGACATACTCTGTGAATGTGCATGTCCCTGCCCATTAGGTAGAATGGGCCAAGAAGACCTTTTAATAAAATTTTGGAATTGGCAATACCACCTCTGTGCTGCATGTAAGAGTAAATTTATTCTGTTGGGTTAGGGCTATGTAGTTAAAAACAATTTTAACATTAAGAGGTTGTAGTGTTCTTACCTTTTCAGGTGTGGGATATTGGAGGACAGCCAAGGTTTCGAAGCATGTGGGAGCGTTATTGCAGAGGAGTCAATGCAGTTGTGTAAGTTTTCTTTTGTATGTCCATAGAAAATGTACTTTGTAATATATATTACTACAAAATTAGGTATTACATTTTATTATGCATAAAGAAAATAGATTCTTTTCTTCTGTCCACCTCCATCACATAAGAAGACCCAGTACAATTAAAGTAGTGTTTTGCACATGCAGCAACCCAGACAGCTGAGTAATTGCATATTCCAGGCCATTTTTTCCCCACAGGCTATATTTAACAGCCTAAATCTGTTATCTTCCTATATCAATAAATGCAGGGTTTATACAACTTTGGATTTTTCTAATGCTCTTGTCAATATCAACATGTTTGTCACATTTCAGATGTTTTAATGCAAATTTTTGCAGCTAATGGTCAATACCATAAATTACTCTTCTTTGTTGCAGTTACATGGTGGATGCAGCAGACTTAGAAAAAGTAGAAGCTTCAAAGAATGAGCTTCACAGTTTGATAGATAAGCCACAGCTGCATGGAATTCCAGTAAGTACTTTCATTATTATTCTTACCTCAGTGTTGACAGTGTGGTCTAAATCCTCCTGAGTTGGTTTCTCTGGTCTCTTAAAAATACTAGGTTATATATATATTGCAGCCTTGATACATTGAGCATGCTTAGAAAAATTACTGTGATTTTTTATTTTTTCATAGTAGTCAGCAACTCGGGAGCACTTCTTTGTGTTTGTACATTTTCTTGTCTAAAAGTCAGAATAGAGTTTGAAAAATTGTGTTTTCACATGTGGCATTATCAGACAGTAATTGCTTCCAGTCACTCCCTTGTTGGCTGGGTTTCAGCCAGTGACCCAGGTATGTTTCTGGCAGTTATCTTATGGCATGTGAGATCAGTATTTCTGCAGGTTGGCAGACAGTAACATCAAGTAGTGTCCTCTGCCTCCACAGATTGTGTAGAAGCTTTTTTTATTTGTCCTGACTTTTTTCTTGACTTAGTATTTCAAGCTAAATTGTGTGGAAAAAATGCAAATATGCATCTGTTCTCCAGTTGGAAGTGTCAAAGAATAGTGTATTCAGCTGAAATTATAATGAGGAATATGAAGGTGAAGACTAATGTTGTTTATTTAAATGTAATCTGCCGATTTAGGAATCAGGTTGTCTTTGGTCTTTCTGTTGACACCACCAAACAAGAGTTCATATCTTGATTATAAGAAAGAAAAGAGTCCTAAATACAAATGAGGAAGAAGTTACTCACAACCTGATGGCTCTTCCTTGGTCCCTTTTTTGTAAGCAGTAATTTGGACACTTGGCCTCTACAAGTAAGTAAAGTTACCTGAGGGTGAGTGGACAGTGTAAGGACTTAAAGAACACAACTGAAATGTGTCAAAACACTGTCAAAGCCAAAAAAGGGACTTTCCATAAGATAAGCCACCACATCAGGAACTTGAGACATTGCCACAGTAGGCAGGAGATCATTCCAGACCTAATGGAGCTGAAGGTTTAGTTAGCATCTGGACATGCTAGCCATCCAGACATTGCCACTGTGGCAGACTTCAGGAAAGGAAGTACACATGCCATCAGTTATGGGAGTGGCATCTACACCCCGTGGATACCTGGGACTTGGTCTGTATAAAAATGGTACCTCCAGTGTTTGCTCTTTCTCTCCCTCCTTTCCTCCCACTATTCTCAAAGGAGAGTTTTTCAAGTGATTCACCATCTTTTTTATAAGGTTTGCTATTTTTGTGGTGATTTTGTATGTTAATTATCTGTTGAACAAATCCTACAAAAGTCGACAGTTACGCTGTTTATGGGGAGTGACATTGCCTGTCCTTTGCACTTTCTTTGCGTGCTTTTTTGCTTCTTACTCTTACTGAAATGATTGGTTACTCATATCTTCAGTAGTGTTTAATTAAGTTCCTTGCCTCTTATATGTTATAATATCAGATTCCAAATGCCCAGGCAGACCTACACAGTAATTTCCAAGGTGCAGTGATGTATTTTTTACTTACTTTTATTTCATATGTAGTAATTAGTATTGAACTTCCTTCAATTTATTGTGCTCAAGATTTGGCACTATGGATTTTAGAGCAACTTTATTAAATCTAGACTCTAGATTACTGCAAGTAATGAGTTTAATGTGTTCCAGATTCATGGGATATAATGGGAGAGTCTTGACTTAGAATTGTAGCACATCTGGAAAACAATAATGCAGTCATAACTAGAAAAACCTTCCATTACTTACTTTATCTTAGAATGTGCTCAACCCATTTATCTGACCTTCATTTATACTTGAAGCCTTAAAAAAGATACAGAATCTATTCAGTAAATTTTCTGCATTTCTTGGACTTAATTCCTAATGGCTGCCAGTGCTCAAATTGGAGAGAGAGGTGGCTGGTGCTTAGGTGATACTTGCTTCAGAGGCTGAGCTGATCAGTGCATCAGCGTTAAGAAGCAAGGGAGCAAAAAAATGTAGAGAGAATTTTGTCTGGGTCTTTAGGACCAGCCTCTGCTGCTGGGGTCCTACTTTTGATTAACATCAGTGGTCCTCTGAATTGAATATCCGTTGGTGGTTTGAGTGTACCTGATGCGTGCTCTCTTCCACATTTCTTTGAATTTAATCTGGCACCATCCTGTAATGCCACCCAGAATGGAGAAATTCATTTCCAGAGGAGACTTCTAATACTAGCATACCCCAGTTTTCAAAGGGTATTCATCCAGCATCTGGTCCTGACTAAGAGCAGGATTTCCATGATGTTCCCAAAGTCATTGGTCATTTTGAATATGTCCTCTGTTACTTTCTAAATAGCTGCGAGATCCAGAATGATGCCAACAAAAAGTTACAGACAAAAATAAACTTTTGTTGCTCCTAGATTTAATAGGCATATGAATTGTTTCTTTCAGGTGTTAGTTCTTGGAAATAAACGAGACCTCCCAGGTGCACTGGATGAGAAGCAGTTAATTGAGAAATTGTAAGTAGCTGGGTTTTGTAAAAAGCTAAGAGATACTGTGAAGTTCAATATGTAAGTCAAAATTATTGGTGTTCTATGGCAGTAACTGGCTATAAAAGATGCTATTTTGCATTCTCAGATATTCCACTTGGAGCTCTCCTGGCGCCTGACTTTGTAATCTAGGCTGATAACTGACTGCAGTAGATTTTAATTTCTCTTAATTGTTGCTTGGCTGTGTGAGGTTATTTCAGATAATCCTGTTTTCCCATCACTGAGGATAGAACTGCTGTGGATAGTGAAAGGGTCATTTTGACTTCTTGCAGTACAATGCATTGTCAGTTTAATGCTTGAATGGCATTAGAACAGAACCATATCAATCTAGTGCTGGTAAATTTAAGCAAGTCATTTAAGGTATTTTTGGCATATATCCAAAGCACAACTTAGGGATTACTGAAACTAACAAATTGATGCACAGTAAATGTAATTGTAAAGAAAATACACAATTTTGTAAAAATGACCAGTATAGCACTAATTTTGTGAAATAGGATTCATAAGTCACATAATTTCAATTAGTAGAAAGTGAAGTGAGATTTTGCTATAGTAAGGGTGGTCCAAAGACTGGGTTACTAAAGTGGGGCTCACAGAATGGCTGAGGTTGGAAGGAACCTTGAGGTCATCTACCTGCTCAAGTAGTGACTTTTGCCCCTTGGAGCTGCTTGCTCTGGACCATGTCCAGACAGCTTTTGAACATCTCCAAGGATAGAGATTTTGCAGCCTCTCTGGGCAGCCTTTGCTAGTACTTGGTCACTCTCAGAGGTAAAAAGTGTTTCTGTGTGTTCAGAGAGAGCTTCCTTTGTTTCAATTCATGGCCATTGCCTCTTGTCCCATCACTGGGCTCCATCTTCTTTACAGGCTCCCTTCAGATTTTTGTACACATTAATAAGAAGTTCCCTAAGCCTTTTCTTCTCTAGGCTAAACAGTCCCAGCTCCTCAGCCTTTCTTAGTATGTGAGTTGCTCATTATTTTAGTTGTCCTTTATTGGGCCCTATTCCATAAATTCTTATCCCTCTTGTACTAATGGTCCACAGCTGGTCAGGTACAGCCTTACTGGTGCTGAGTAAAAGGGAAAGATCACCTCCTTCAGCCTGCTGGCAGCACTCCTAGTGCACCCCAGAATACCATTAGCATTTTTACCACACTGTTTGGTCTTGTTCAACCTGGTGACCTGCCAAGACTCCCAGATCCTTTCTTGCAAAGCTACTTTTCCAGACAGTTGGCATCTGACATATCCTGCTGCCTGGGGTTGTTTCTCCCCAGGTGCAGGACTTTGCACTTTCCTTTGTTGAACTGCATGAGGTTCCCTGCCAGCTCTTTTCTCTAGCTTGTGGTGGTCCCTCTGGGTGGCAGCACGACCCGCTGGTGTATCGACCACTCCTCCCAGTTTTCTGTCATCAGCAAACTTGTGCTTTGCCCCATCATTTGCAACAAATAAAGATGTAGAACAGGATTGCACCAGTATTAGTTCTGGTGTACACTGGTCACTGCTTCAGCTTGTCTTTGTGCCACTGATCACCCAGTGTTCAGCCAGTTTTCAGTCCACCTTGCCATCTCTCCAACCCATACTCCCTCAGCTTGTCTGTGGGGATATTATGGAAGGCACTGTCAATGCCTTAATCAAGTCCAGGTGCACAATATCTGTTGTTCTCCTGTCATCTACCAAACTGTTGATTTCATTGTAGAAGGTTATTGAGTTAATCAAACATTATTTCCCTTGTATGAATCCATGCTGACTACTCCTGGTCACCTTCTTGTCTGTCATATGCCTGACATGGATTAGTTGCATCATCACGTTCCCAGGAATCAAGGTGGGGCTGACTGTCATGTACTTCCCAGGGTCATCCTTTTTCTGAAGAGTGACTTTTGCCTTCCTCTGGTCTTAGGCACCTCTCCCAGTTGACATGGTTGCTCAAAGTGGCCTCACAATGACATCAGCCAGTTCCTTTATCACTTGTAGGTGCATCCCACCAGGGCTGATGGATTTCTCCATGTCAAGTTTGCTTATTTATTCCCTGATCAGATCCTCTTCCATCAAGGGTACAACTTCTTTGCTCTTACTCATCATCTCTGGGGCCTGGTGTTTCTGAAGGCTAGTCTTGCCAGCAAAGGCAGCATTTTCATGTCCTGTATAACCAGGTCCCCTGTCTCATTGAGCAATGGGTGCACATTTTCTCTTGTCTTCCATTTGTCACTTTCTAGTTTTCTTTGATATCCCTCATGAGATCCAACTTCACCTGGGCTTTGGCTGACCTACCGGTGTCTCTGCATTCTTAGACAATGCTTCTTTATTCCTCCCAGGTTACCTGTCTCTGTTTCGACCTTCTGTATGCTTCCTTTTAATTACTGGGTTTTGCCAAGAGCTTATTGTTCATCCACTTAATGTCTTTCAGCGTTTTTTTCCAGGCTAGGTAGGATAGATTATTCTTAAATTTGGAGATTAACTTTGAATATTACCTGGGTTTCTTTAGCCCTTCTTTGATACAGGCCTAACTACATGGGACTTTCCCAAGCAGATCCCTGAAGAGGCCAGGTCTGCTCTCCTGAAGTCGAGGAAGGTCCATGTTCAGTTTTCTTCTTTACTACTCTTGTAGTCTTCAGACTTCTCAGTGCCTTCACTTCCCACCTGCTTCAGGAAAAATTTTGTGCATGTCAGTGTCACTTGTGTGAGGATAAATAAATGAAAAAATAACAAAGTGTTCAGAAGCTCTGAAGGGGGTTGGAGAATTCCCTGAAAGAATTGATTAAGAATCAGTTTCTTCCTAAATGTAGAGGCATCCTTTCAGTAGGAGTCAGATGTGATATATTAAGTATGATATAGTAAACACCCTGAAGATAAGTGGTGTGATCATTTGAGCACTGATATTTTATTATGATTTACTGGAGAAAAAACCTCAGAATTCTAAGTGAAAAGAGTAAAAGGTGAATGATAAGATATGGGTAATACTTGGTTGTGACCACAAAACATTATTTTTAGCTTATGGATTTCTGTGATTATATTTTTCACTATTACACTGGCCTAATGAGAAATTAAAATTTTTGTGAAATTACTTTATAACTTTTTGATCCTTAAAGTTTAAGAAATATGTGATTTTCTGTGTGCAGTAGCATATTCTAAGAAATTAACATCTGAGAACAGAATTGAACCCACTGAGTAAAAAGCAGAAAACATATAATTTAATGGAAATTTCTGTTCTCAGTGTTTATGGGGTTATAACAGTACTTATTGTTTTTGTTTCTGCAGAAACCTTTCAGCTATTCAAGACAGAGAAATCTGTTGCTATTCTATTTCCTGTAAAGAGAAGGATAACATAGGTAAGTTTCTTTTGGTGTCATCAGTGTGTGGTTTGTACTTTGGATTACATCAGGTCTGAACATCTATCTCCACTATATTATTGAAGATCTCAATAGATCTCAAGTTGCATTGAAAGATACTTTGCAAATATTGTATGCCACTGTATTTGTTTCAACAAAGAGCTTTGTGTAATTAAAAAAGAAACTTGTAGAAATATTTAATTCCATTAGAAGTTAATTTGACAGGGACCATGGAAAAGTGTATATAAAGCCTGGAGTAATTGAATCCTTTACAAGAAACCTGTGTTACTTTTGAAAAAACAGTAGCTGCATATGAAGGCCTTTCAGTTATTAGGTGATCCCAAAAAAATGTTAGTGTTTTACTCCATACATGGTTTTATTTGGGAAGCAGGTTTTATGAGCATGTGGCAGTTCCTCAAACTGAGGGACGGGTGCTTTTTACAAGTGGAAATGCAATGAGTGTATCCTGTAGTCAGTGAAGATATATCCCCATCAACTTGTCTTCCATCTGCCTTTGCTTTTTGCCTTTTCCTCTTTCTCCTGTCTTCCACTTTCTTGTCCCTTTCCTCTGTCATTTTCTCCCATTCCCTTCCCTCCACAGGGCAGGAGGAAGGGATGAAGCTAGCAGCAGCTGCAGTTGTCTGAGGCCATGCTACCTCCGTGCCACCCTCCTCTGCATGCTGCTGAAACAAGTGGTGCTGGATGGGATGGGATCTGGCCTGGCTAGATATTTATAGCTGCTACGTGAGGAAGCCAGACCTGATAGAAGAGCAGGGCAGCTCTGTAAGGTTTAGCTGAGTGAGAAACTGTGAGAGTGGGAATGGGAAGAAAGCCACTTTCTCTGAGCAGCAGGGGAAATTTCCATCCTACACAGAGAGAACCAGGTAGTGGAGATGGTGAGGAGACTGTACCGTGACACCTGGACTTCAGTAAGCTGGGGGAGAGTTCAGCTGTGTGCAGAGATGTGTTAGGCAGTAAGGGCTTCTCCTGGAAGTGGTGTACATGACTTGGGTATGTTAGTTTGGAGGAGACCAGACCCATCTTTGCTGCAACTTGGAGTGCAGCTGTTACCTGAGTGAGGGAGATGCACAGAAGGTGCTGCTACACTGGGGAAGATTAGACTTCAGGAGATAAGGGCCGTAGAAGACAACACAGAATAATCTCAGTAGTTGAAGGGCAGTGAATATGATTGAGGTTTTTGAAATGCTGTGCTTGATCCTCATCAAATTGGTAAGGCTGCCAATTAGAAGTGGCATTGAGACTGGAAACTAGTAAAAACAGCTTAATTTCTGTAAGAATCATGGAGAAAAATAGATTTTGATCCCAGTCCATTTATCTGGATGCCCTGGAGGAGAAAAGCATGCAACAAAAGGCATGCTAAAATTTGCATGAAACAATGATCATTAATGTAAAACAGTATAGATTACTTACTTGTGGAAGTTCTGGGAGTAGTGATAAAAAAGATTTAAATCCTAGCTGAGACTTGGTCAGGTATCTTCCAGTGTAATATTGTACCTAGAAAGACTAGCCAGGTTCTTGAATGTTTGCCAAAAACAAAATAAAAAATGGGAGCACACTGTGTATACCATTTTGGACTGTAGGCATTGTTGGAGCACCATGTGCCATATTTTGAGGAAGACCTTGAGAGAAGAGGTTGGGCGAGAAGCTGGGGAGACTAAAGGGGTGGCAAGTACCATTTATAAAGACTGTTATGCTAGCTTATTAAAGAGATGAATCTACTAGTCTGTTAAAGACAAGATTGGCAGCTGTCGTCTTCCTCTGTGCTTTTGACTGATGTCAGTGCAGTTGAATGAGATGATACTGGTTTTTCAGTGTGACCTGCAGCCTAGCTAACTGGTCTCATCAGGAGCTATATGTGTAAGGCTGCAAGTTACTGTGTCCTGAGAGACTGTGGAAGATAATTATATAGTTAATAGCTTTGATATAAGTGCAGTGGGTTGCTATTTTCTGCAGTCTCAAAGCCTAAGCTGGTCTGCAAGGATATTCATGTAGTGCTGTCTTGAACTTAAGACATATATGGCAACAAATTTCAATTTGAGGGCTAGAGCTGCTGCTGCCCCCTGACATCCTTCCTGCCTTCCTGACAGATGCTACTGCCTTGAGGCAAAAAAATCTAATCTGCTCATGAATCAGTTTGTGAACTGCTGCAGTTTTCAGCTCAATTCATTGGATTGCATTAGGAGGGGTGCCAATTTCAGCTATCAAATTTTAGTCCAATGTTGCATGTCTTTCAGAGACCTTGGACTCCTACAACCTACCTAAATAGCTTCTTAATGTGTTGACAGATCTTTGCCCTTCTCATTTCTTCTGTTTGTGTATTTGCCTTTGTTCTCACTCAGCATTTCATTCTAGTCTGGATTTTACAGTTTGTTTTATGGTCATCTTAAATCTTTGCTTCTTCAACAGTTCCTTATCTATGGCTTAGAGAACTTGATGTCAGTCATTATACTTCAAAAATACAAAATGCACATGATTTATAAACATACAAACATAGCTAGGAAAGTGCCACCTGGAAGTTGACCTTAATGAACTTTAATTATGTGCGAATGAGAACCTGTGGTTTCTGGGTTTTGTTTGGTTGGGGTTTTTGTATTTGTATGAACTTGCTGGTGTTCTGTTGTGCTTCTAGAGTCTACAAACAGGCTGTTGAGTTTTTCGTTTTGTTTCTCTATCCTGGCAGACATAACATTACAATGGCTTATTCAGCACTCCAAATCAAGAAACTGTTGAAGAAACTTTTGCTGAAGATAACTCTTCCCCAATCACTTTGACTCCTGTCAGCTATACACACTGAAAAGATAAGGAATGCAACTGTCTACTACCAGGACTCACTCTGGTCATATTTGTTAACAGAAGTAAATCTGACTTGTAACTTGTCTGTCTGTTTTGATTCTTTTTTTTTTTTGGTTTTTTTTTTTTTTTTGAATCCTGACATTTGTCTGCCTAGGTGAAATTCCTGAACGCCTTAATACAAGACTGGAAGAAATCAATAATTTTTTGAGCTGAAGTGTTTTGAGTTTATGCATGCAAATTGTCAAATACATAGTACTTTTTTTCTAATTTGAAACTGAATAAATTGTGCAGTGGAAACAAATGACTGGTCTTTTTGAATGTAGCATATAATTACACAGATTGTCTTCCCTCTGAACACATGTAGTTAAGTACATTTAATCAATTAAATCAATTAATCAATTAAAACTATAATTAAGTGCTTCTTATTTGAACAAAATGCTAATATTCAGAACACTTTCACATACTCTGGAGAAAAGTTATTTATGAAGTTATGTATCTGTAGTTACTTAGTTTTTCCAGTCACTCATGTGAATTATTCATTTGAATATTCTTTTGGAATTGAAAAATAAAATATTCTAGACAATCTTGTCCTTCTTTATTGGGAAAGGAAAGAGTCTGGAATTGTAGTGGGTATTTTTCTTTCTTAAACAGAGGGTGAAATAGAGAGCAGGTGAGATCACATGCATCTTCTCTGACGTTATTAACCCCCAAACTCATGGATCTCCTAACCATTGTTAATGTAAATGAAATGGTGTTTTTGGACTACTATGTCCATTCCTGAACCTTTAGAATTTTCAAGTATACAACATAAAATAGCTGGGATCTGAAGTAGGATTGGTCTTTTGAAAACAGACTAAAGAAGCAATTCACTTTTTAAATTTTGATGTTTTCCTAAGATCCTACAGGTACCTTCTTCCAAATGCTTCACTTAAAAAGCACTCTGATGGAACTTTTCTCTGAGTATGGAAATTCTATTACATATGGAAAGTTCATATCAAGAAACAGTAGATAGACACTCAATGGCCAAGTGTTTCAAGGGCACTTGCAGATCTCAGAGGGAGAAGTTCAGGCATGGTGTTCTAAAGATGCTGTAAATCCATTGATTGCTATAGTATTGAAAGGGCTGTAAGTCATGTATGCCGTTCTTGCACTTAAGTACATGAACTACAGAAATAGGAACTTTTTTTGTCACTTATGTTTGAGAATACTTTTAAGCTAGTGGCTCTGATAAGCTGCTAAGAGCATACAGCACAGACTTGATAAAATCTTTCTTGAGTGTTGCAGGAATGCTACTGCAGACATGGTAAACGTTATGGCACTTGCTGATATTTGCAGTCTTTCCTGTAGAAATGTGGCTACAGGGGCTCATTGTTCTGTGGTAACATGAAAATAATTTGACTAAGTGCTCAGTGCATAAATAAGTGGTGGATGCTTCTGAAAGGGGATGATGCATATAACCTTCCAAAACCTGACATGTAATCCATCTAGTGGCAATTTGTATGGTGTAAAAACAGCACTCGGTGGCAAAGGTGGTGAATTTCAAATGCTCTTGTTGCTCACGGAGTTTTGAAGGAGTAGAGCCATTGTAAAATACACTGGAATTGTACTCACTATGTATACAACACATGAGAAGAGCTACTTCTGCACCAGTGATCTCAATATCTTCCCTGTTGTCATGCTTTTTGGTGGTAGTGCCTCATCCTTCAGAACTATCCTGGCATGGAAATTCATGCTTCTGGCATAAGAGCTCCACCTCACTGAATCACTCCTTAATCTGAACCCCTTCTCTCACCCCTTGCCATGGAAGGTTTGTGGGAGTGGGCACGAATTCTTTGCAAGTTTATTGCTGTTGGTAAGAAAAGCAGTGCTGGCTCCAATCCTTCCCTTGCTTTGCTCAGTGTGGTATTTCTTTGGGAGGTGACCAATGAAGAAACCTTCGTGTGTGTGCTATCATCAAGTACCAGTGCAACCTAGGAACAACCCGTGGAGGGAAGAGGTCAGGTTCCAGATAGGCCAAAGTAATCTTTGGGAGTAAGAGGTGAAAATTAGCAATTTTGTTATTAAAATTATCCTGTTATGCACCATATGCTGATGTTTTTCCTCAATTGTCCTACTATGTGACCTTGTATCCATGCTTAAGGCAAATCAGCCCAGGTCTCACTGTTCCCGTTTGCAAGAGTCTGTTTTTCAACAATTTGCCTTCAAGTAATTTTTCAGAATGGACTTAGCTGAAGGTGACTGTTTACTGTCACATCCAATAGCTTTATGGGAAAGATGAATTGTTGATGACTGATGGCTATGACATCTTATTTCTGAGACTGTATTGTTGGGAAGGGTTACAAATATGTAGACCACTGGACACATCGTTGCACCAAAATTGTTTGGAGAGGTCACAAATATGCCAGCGAGGGAGCCTCTGTGCAGGGAATGTCCACTTGCTCAGGCAGCAATACATAATGCAGTGCCTTGCATGGATCCACACTCGGTGTTTCAGAAGCAGGGAGGGCGTGCAGAGACAAGGAGTGAGCACACTGCTTTCTGCTCAGCATTCCGAAAAGGTGACCAAGACAGAGCAGCAGAGGCTGCTGTTGTGCTCTGGCTCTGCTTGGGAGGTGGTGAGTACCCTACTGTGCCCACCCAGCATGTGTGGTGCTGGTAGTCTGATCTACATGCACAGCATCCTCCAGGCTCTGGGAAAAGAGCAGCGCTGGGGGATGTGGACAGCTGAGGAGCTAGGAGTGACCTTCAGTTTAAGCACAGCTAGAAATCCCACACTCTGAAATGCCAAGAATCCTAAAGCAGCACAAGTGTAACAGGGATACAAGTTTCACTTCCTTTATTTCCTTCTCCAAATGTAGGAACAGTTCTGTCACCCAGGGTTATAAAGGACCACCAGGTGCCAGCCATCTGTTTTACCTCCAGCACATTTTATTTGTGAGTTTTTTCTGCTAGCAATGTAATTCCCCCCCATATTTCTTCTCCATTTGCATTGTATATTGTAGGAGACAATCATGAACATAAAATTTTAGTTAAACTATACTTAAAGAAAACCTCAAAGTCAAGTTTTTAAAAAATGCACTATAAAACTTCTACATTTATTGCAGGGAGCAGTGACACATACATAATTTGTTCCTGAATAAGCTATTTTGTAAGATGCTGTTTTTTCAGTCACCTGAGCAGCATGTTAAATTGAATGCCTCTGTTCTGGGCTTTAGGACAGGGTGTACATAGCAGCTGTCACAAGACTTTTGAGCAAGTGATGGAACATTACAAGAATTGTGTATAGTGACCCCAAAATTTTAAAGTTTGTGAAACAGAATAGACTGTTATTTTGGCTCAAGTCTCCAGCAAGCCTCTTTTGCCTCTGGCTGTGCCCCAGCCTGGTCAGTGTCACGCACACTGTGATCTGAAAGGGCCAGCTTAGCAAACTCTGCCTGACTCAGACCACACTATTATCACTTGGAAGCCTGCAAGGGAGTGGGGTTTGGGAGAAGGGCTGGCTTCTGGCTGTTTTCTGCACTGTGGTTTCCAAGCCAGTTCATTCCTTGGAGTCAGTTACTATCTATCTATACAGTACGCCTGTGCAGCATTTGTTCCTATGGATTTGTCTTACTCAAATGCCTTTAAAGAGCAGGACACATTTGTACATTTCCCTTTAAAGATCCCAGGGTACTCTGGCTGGAGCCCTAGTATGTCTTCATTATCTGTTTATGCTTGAGACCTAAGAAACAGACATACTCTTTTATGGGGAGTGCTTGTGAATCCAGTCTAGATCTAGAAGTCAACAGCACAGAGTGGTTGGTGGAGGACAAGGTATTGAAATCAAGTAAGTATGAGGTGTCCTTAAATCCTCCTTACTTCTGGAGAAGGATGGAATTTGAGATCTGTGGAGCAATGAATAAGAACAATCATCAGGTGACCTCAAATATGATATGAACAAATTTTATTCCTGGCAAGAGATGGTGTTGCACTATGCAAATCAAATTATTCATGTCATCGTGGACTACCCATCACTAGTAAACTAAAAGAACACAGTATTCCAGGCTCTCAGAAGATACAGTCATCTAGAAGCCTCAGGGGCAGGGTAAACTACTTTTGTTTTCCTCCACTGCAGAAGGAATGAGACATCTGTGAGGAGTCATACTCTGTTCCCTCAGCAGATACAAGGACTCCACGACAGACTGCAGATTGGATGCTTTAAGCAGAAGCCTTTCCAGATTACTTGTAACATACTGGCAATGGTGTTACCCTCAAAAGCAGCGAGCTCTGCCTTTCTCGGTTGGCCCCTTGCCACGACAGGCATTTTCTTCTGCAACTCAAACAAGTGACCTGACAGTCCATCCTGGCTGTAACCCTTTTCAGGGGCTGCTGTTTATTTCCAGTCTCTCTACGCCTTGCTTCCTGGTAAAATGGGCATAATCCAAAGAATCTTCTCCGTGCTTAAAATAATCTTGAAAGAAAGAATCATATCCCATTTCTTGAGAACACTGTCTTCATTGCAGCATCACATACAGGACCCCAAGAATAAAAGGGAATCTGGAACTGGACTAACAAGAAAAGCTGAAGAGGAAATGCAGTCCAACGTGTATGGGCAATGTGAGAAAACATGAGTTTATGGTGTGCTACCATCAGGGATAGTCCCTTCACCAGGCCCCAGTTCTGCAAAGAGCTGGGACAGAGCCAAGCAGAAGACAATGGCAGCCCTTGAGTGCTGCATGCTTGGACAGTGTGCAAGCCCCTCATTTATCCCAACCTTTTCTCTACCTGTGTGGTTATATTTTTCTGGCCCTTTCAGTATTGCCTCTTGCCTTTTCAGGTGTGACTGCTGAGCAGGTCTTCACCAGCTCCTGAGGAAGGGCAGGAAGCTGATGCCACCATGGGGTTGTGGCAACTGAGGGGGTTGGCCATCACCCTCCTCAAGGCTCAATGCTTCCTGAGACTTGCAGGCCTGATGGCTTGGAAATGAAAAAGGACAGGAAATGTGCAGCTCCTGGCAGCCATCTGTAAGTCTTTGCTCTCTACTTGAAAAGGAGGGAGCAGGATAAGGAAGACTACTGCCCTGCTGTACAGTTTCTCTAGGACCTGTTGGGTGCCAGACTCTTTGTGACATGATTAGGTAATCCTCCCTCCTTGCACCTGGAAGTGCACTCATTGTGATGAAGGATAGGATCATATATTGTGTCTGAGAAATTTTGAAGAAGCACAGCTTTTAACAGAGTGGACAGGCAGTCTTGTGACATCCCATGGAACAGACTTTTTCCAGCTGCTGTTGGGATGTGCTGGTGACCTTGGTCCCT